GTTTGAAATATTTCTGTGCTTCCCATATTGGCATACCAACATCAGGTTCTATTTTAATTGAAAGAATAGATTTATTAACAATTAGAATTTTATTTCATAATTTATTATTAAATATCTTACCAATTCTATCAAAAAGTTCACCACCTGAAGCATATTCCAAAAATATATATTCCATATTAGGTTCACTACGCTTTCCAAAATACTGTATAATATTAGGATTAGAGAGCATACGATGAATTGTAGTTTCTTTGCGAACAGTATGATGGGCATCTGGATGCTTTTCTAAGTCTATCATTTTCATAGCAACAGCTTCACCTGTAGATTTATTTATAACCAATTTTACTCTGAAAATAAGAATCAAATTTAATGATATGTGATAATTATAATAATAAAAAAAAATATATAAAAATATTATAATATAAAATATTGTTAATTTTCTGAAAATTTATTTTATATTTAATTATTTAATAATTAATTCATGATTATACAAATTAAAAATATATGAACATACTCGCCGAAAGCACCTTCTCCTAAAGTGTGTCCAAATATCCAACCATCTACGAATTCCGTCATTCTGTTTCAGCATGCCTCTTTACGATGGTAATAAAAAATTATATTTCCCAATTTATATTTTTTCAAAATTATTTAACTATCTCTATTACGAAAAAAAAAATGAAATTATTAAAATGATTATACAAATTAATAGAATAAAATTATTTTAACAAATGCTTACATTATATATCATTTTTATAAAAATGATGTGTCTTTCGAAGCACGTGGTTTTAATCACGTCGCTGAAACATCGTGCTTCTAATCGAATTCAATGTGATATGATAACATTTAAAATTATACATTTAAAATTATATATAAATTATTTACACAATTGATAAATTTTTCTTTGAATTATATTTTATTGATATTATAAATGATATAATTACGAAGAAAATTGATAATAAATTAGAATACTTCCTACCTATAATCAGAAAGTTTCGGTTACAAGACACGTTATAAAATAACATAAGAGGTATTCATCTCTAGAAAATGAAGCAAACCACGCGCTCTATAATTTCTGGGTATAAGATTACTGCATTTTCATTGGTCAAAGAAATATTTAAAGAATCTTAAAATCCCTGTTTAATAAACGAATATTTAGTTAATGAATAGTAAGTTTTTTTTTAAAAATAAAAATATAATTTTAATATTAAAAATATGATAGTGAAATTAGATTAAATTGAAAAAGGAAATTTAAACTTAATTTATAATTTAAATATATTATTTACAATCTTTTGATAAAAATGCATATTATTTTTAATGGGTGTTTTTTATATTTTAACTTTAAATCATTTTTAAAATTTTTGTTCAATAATTTTATTTAATAATTAATAAAAAAAATTTTTATTAATTAAATTACTTATATTTAAAAGGAGCATAAATTATTAAATATAATTTATAAATATACATTCAAGTTCAAATTTATCAGAATAAATATCAAAATATTTTAGATTACTAGTTTATATAAATAAATTTTATTATTTATAATATTACAGACAATAATAACAGGCAAATATTAAATATACAAATGAAATGTATGATGCTTTATGATATGATAAAATATATCTATAATAGACCTTGTCTTTTTAAATCCTCATATGTTTTACGATTAACAACATTTCCAAGAGAATCTTCAAATTCTTCTTCTTGTTCTGGCTGCCAACGTTCTGCTTGTTTTTGAGCTTTTAATTTTTCCCATAAAGCTAAGGCATCTTCTATTTGTGTCACATTGGCAAAATGTGCAGTATTTGGAATACCAAGACAACGCATACCATGTGCATGCCTCCATTCTGCAAAATGTCTTTGAAAAGCTTTTGGTCCTTTATATGTAAAATTTCCACATATTTCACAATTATAACTAATATTCAAGCCATGTAATTTATATAACCAATATGGTATTGGTTTGCCATCCCAACCAAGAGGAAGATTTTTGGGATTATAAGGAACCTCATTATCATCTTCTTCTTCTGATTCACTAGCACTAGCTTCAGCATCAGAATCTCCTCTTTCACCTTCTGTTCTGGCTTGTTTTCTTTGAACATTTTCTTTTGTGGCTACACGTTGAGTTGATACCAATTCTGCAAGTTTATATACATGAGATTCTAAATATGCAATTTCTTTTTGCTTTTCAGAATTTCTTCCCTTTCCAGATTTTCTATTTTTACTACTTTTAGCTAATAAATTTGGATCCAAAGATGCTTCTCCTTTTGTACTAAAAAGTCTTTGAGCTCTTTCTTCTAATGTACCACCACATTTTAAACCCAAAGCCATTAATGCTGATTTTAATCTGTCTAAACCAAGAGATGCAAGCTCTTCCCATGAAGAAAAAGCAGAAAGTTCTAAATGAGCACCTACATGAGTTAAAGCACTACCAGTTTCTTTTGGCCATCCTGGAAATGTACTATTTTCCCATTCTGTTTCAAATTGTTTGCTTGCTTCCTCCAATTCTGCATTTATATCAAGTAAAGGTCTAACTCTACTTAAATAATCAATCAAATATTCTAACAAAGATTCCACATACTTTTGATATTCAGCATTTTTCCTTTCTCTTGGTATATCAAATAAATGATCAAAAGTTGATAAATATGTAATATAATCTATTTTTTCTATTCCTTTAAGATTTATATATTTTTCATAACATTCATGAAGATCAAGATATTTGCCATAACCTTCTTCATCTGTAAATTCAACGAGATTTGAAAGTTCTTCTGTTGGGTTTTCTCTCATTTTAGCTAATTCCTCAAATTCTACAGACATTGGAATACTTATTTCATTAGGATGTCGACGATAGAAATCTTTTATAGATTTCAATCTGGAATAAAATTCGGAAAATTCATTTGGCCCAGAAAGTGCTTGCACCTATATAATAAAAACTTATTATTATTGAATTGTAAATATATTATAAGAATTTAACATACTTCTTCTTTTCTTTGACCATCTTTATCTTCATATAAATCCTGTAAATGCGAAGTACTATCCATATACTGATCAAGCAACATTTTTAATCGATGTTCTGAATTTATACTTTCTCTATGTCCTGGCTTTTTGTAAAGCATTTCTTTGACCATTGCATCCATTAATCTTTCCCTTTCTTCGTGATAACGTCGTTGCTGTTCTAGAATCGTTTCCATTTTTCTAATTTGTATAAAAGCAACACTTGTTTATCAACTAAATGCAAGATATAGTATAATTTAACATAGATATGATTGTATATAGTGATGCAGTGTCACCATCTTGCGATTATTGTAAAATATAATCTAGGGAATTTAAAACAATAGAAATTATATAAATTATATAATTTAAAAAATATATTTATATATATTATATATTTAAAATATATATAAAATATTTTATTTTTTGTTAGTAAAATAGAAAATAATTTTATATCTATTGTGCTTATATTTTGGTATATATTTAGTATATACTAACTATATTTATATCTTAAGTATGTATGTACAAGATATATATACATACTGTGGAGTATATCAGTACACATTTAAGATAGTCAACATTACAAAGAGTTAAAATAAAATAGGTTAAATAAATTTAATTAGAAAGAATTAGATAGAATAATATACTTTATAAAATTTTCTACTTCTTTTACTTTTTGTTAACAAATATTAGTAATATAATTCGTGGAAAAGATTGTTACGGAACATTATCCCAATATGGTATGATATGTTTAAAATGAAAAGTTAAAATGCAAAACAATTGTAATGAACCTTTGAATTAGGAAAATTATGTTTGCTTATATATTATAATAAAATATATTTAATATTTGGAATATAATAATATAAATATTATTTATATTTTATATTATAATTAATTATTAAATAATTATTATTTTATTGTTACATTAATATATTAACAATTTTCTATTTCAGACGAATATGACAGAAGAAATTCAAAAAAATTTAAAAACAGAGTTAGACAAATATAAACAAGTTCAAAAAGGTATTTTATTAATTTTCTTATATAAATTATATTTTTTATGATATGCAATTATAATTAATTAATTGCCTTGTATACACATAGATTCTGTTTGTATCAGATTTCCACAAAGCATTGAGTCAAAGACAGCAGTTGGATGGACAATTAAATGAAAATATTGCTGTAAAAAAAGAATTAGATCTCTTAAAATCAGAAGATGATGTTTTTAAATTAATTGGACCAGTTCTCATTAAACAAGATGTAGAAGAAGCAAAGCAAAATGTTGCTAAACGTATGGAATATATCTCTTCTGAGTTGTAAGTTATTTATTATATATCTATATGAATTAAATATGAGAGACAAGAAAAATATTGTATATATATATATATATATATATATGATGAGCACAAATAACTTATAATAATAATAATATATAATATAATTATATATTATAATTTCAGAAAAAGAGTAGAGGAATTGATAACTACATTAGATAAAAAACAAGATACACATCGTGAAACATTGGAAAAATACCAACAGATGTTTCAACAAGCTCAAATAAAGGCATCATTTTCTCAACCAAAAGCATAATTTCATATATAAAATAATTATAACGTTGTCGCTTTTTATTATATCAATATCAGAGAACAAAAAAAATTGTATAATCACAAATGTGATTATTCTTATTTCTAATTAAATTTGTTAATAAATTTCTTGTGAAGCATTTATTATTTTATTTATTTAATCGTAATAATAATAATTCCAAAATTAAAACTAATTAAAAATAATATTAAATCATATTTTTTTAAACATAGATTTGTATAAAATTTATATTAAAATCGTTTAACCTAACATTATGTATGTCTATTAAATGCTTTAGTAACAATTTATATTAAATATATTACATTCCACAGCTTATTATAATATTATAAATTCCATTTTTATAAAAGAATAATTAAAAGTTAAATATTTATTAATTCACATAATATAAATTTTCATTTTTATAGATACAAACATAAATCGATATTTAAGTCTTAAATACATTGTAAATATGGCGGTTTGACAACTACTCGTAAATTGTAAGATTGAAAATTTTGTTATTTATATATGAAATTTATCAAATAATTGTACAATATTAACTTTAATAAAATAAAACATGTTATTAACATTAAAACCAGATCATAAGAAACATGTATTACTTCTTACAGATTATACGCCACAAGGTATGTAAAATTTTATCGATTTATTTCATTTTAAAATAATCATATATTTATATATATTCTTTTTAGTTTTACAAGATTTTTGCAAATTAGCTTTAGATTATTTGCAAAAAGGACCAAATATTAAATTATATAATGCAGCAGCTCGTAAGTATTTTTATATTAATAGTTAAAAGAAAAAATTTTTTATTTTATTGATTTATTGATTTTCAGAAAAATTGGAAGTTGAAGTAAGTCTAATTAAAAATTCAGTTGAAGGACTTGTTAATTTATTAATAGAGAGTTGTAGATATAAGGTAATATAAATTATAATGACTTATATATATTTCTGTTAATTTATACAATATTTAATTAAATATTTAAACTTTTCAGTTAAACTCTGAAGATTTTAGAGATTCTATAATATCTTTAGGTTTTTCAGAACAACAAGAAATTATATTAAGTAAACTATATAATGTTAAAAAAGATGAAATATTAGATACACTCAAGAATATTGGATTTAAATTACCAGAATATCATGACATGGAATGGAGATTTGAAGTGCAGGTGTTATATTGGACAATATATCTTTAATATATTAAATTTTATATTTCATATATAATATATTTTTTATAGATTGCATCAAGAGCATTATTAAAGCAAGTTGCTCCACTTATTACTTTGGATTTATCTATAAAAAATTCTGATAAAGATGAGAATATCGAACATATATTACTTCAAACTGATCCTATTAATTTATCATATATAACACAACAGTTAGAAGAAGCTGTACAAGAAGGATACAGTCAACATATTCGTAGACTTTCAAGAGTAATAAAATGATAATACTATATGTGTAACAAAATTAAATTTTATGCAATAAAGTATATAGATATTATAAAATGTTTTTAAATTATTTTTAATTGTACATTAAAATAATACATTATAATTGAATTTTTATTGATCATTTTAACTTAAATTCAAAAGCATATGCAAAGTTTTACTTTGACTAGATTATTTTAAATTTAAAATGACATTACTCATATCATATTATTCTGAAACTTATATAATAACTTATATATAATATTATAATAGTATTACAAATGCATTATTGGGATTATATATGAATTCATTTGAATATTTTATTGGATGATTTTATTGATTATCTCATCTTACTGAACATATAAAAGAAGACTAATGCGTTCATAGTTATATAGTAAGATATGAACAGTTAAGTGTAAAAGAGGAATGTGTAGTTTTCTCTAGTTTCTGTGTAGTTTTAAATTTTATTTGTAAATTTAGTAAATAATGGATACATTAAATATAACAACTTCTTTTTTTATTGAAGTTATGCCTTCAAACATCTCTACCCTAACTACTACAGGACCACAATTTGCAAGACAATTGATGCGTTTTAATAATCAAACAGTTGTTAGTAAAGTACCTGAAGAGATGTTACATTTAATTGATTTATATTGGTAATTTATTTTTTATAATAGAAAAAAATCTGTGTATTTATGTTTATATTGTATTATTATATTTTAAAATGTAGGTATCAATTTCCACCATTGGATCCATTGTGGCATAAAATCTTAGGTTTAGTTATGATTATATTAGGCATTATGGGATGGTGTGGAAATGGTGTAGTGGTTTATGTATTTATAATGACACCATCTCTAAGAACACCAAGTAATCTTCTTGTGGTAAATCTTGCTTTCTCTGATTTTATTATGATGGGTTTTATGTGTCCTCCTATGGTAATTTGTTGTTTTTATGAAACTTGGGTTCTTGGTAAGAAAAAGTAGATATATTTATAAGTTTAGATAGATAATTTTAAAAATATTTATCTCTCTTTACAAAACTTTATATTAAAATAATTTAGGTAGCTTAATGTGTGATATTTATGCAATGGTTGGATCATTATGTGGATGTGCTTCTATATGGACTATGACAGCTATTGCTCTAGATAGATATAATGTTATAGTAAAAGTATATATGCATATATATTTATATATAAATAAATATACTAACATTATAAAAATAATATAATAAAAAAATTTTTAGGGTATGTCTGGAACACCTCTTACTATCAAAAGAGCTATGCTTCAAATTTTAGGTATTTGGCTTTTTGGTTTAATATGGACAATTTTACCTTTAGTAGGATGGAATAGGTAATATTTTAATTTTAAAAATGTTATATTGTTAAATATTGTTAATTATAATATTGTTAAATAATAAATAATAAATATCTTTAATAATTATCATATTGCATTTATAAATATAGATACGTTCCGGAAGGTAATATGACAGCATGTGGAACAGATTATCTTAGTCAAGATTGGACTTTCAAATCATATATATTAGTTTATTCTTTTTTCGTCTATTACACTCCATTATTCACTATTATTTACAGTTATTATTTTATCGTTTCGGTAAATGTATTGGAATTAAACATTTTTAACTTATATTTATATTTTAATGTATTTATAATTAATTTATAATTGTAATTAATATACATCACCATTTTATAGACTGTTGCGGCTCATGAAAAAGCAATGAAAGAACAAGCAAAGAAAATGAATGTCGCTTCTTTACGATCTGGAGATAATCAAAACACTAGCGCTGAAGCGAAATTAGCAAAGGTATATTATATTTTTAAGGACATTCAAGTATTTTTATTAATTTTTTATTAATTTTATTAAAAAATAGAATATGACGAATAGAATATAAATGTATAAATTCTATATATATAAAAATAATTAAAATTATTATGTATATATTACGAATATTTTTATTTTACAGGTAGCACTAACGACTATATCATTATGGTTTATGGCATGGACACCATATCTTGTGATTAATTATATTGGAATTTTTAATCGATCTCTTATCACACCCCTTTTCACAATATGGGGTTCTCTCTTTGCAAAAGCGAATGCAATATATAATCCGATTGTTTATGGAATTAGGCACGTATAACTATTTTAATTTTAATGTTGTCTTAATTGAAAATAATAATATTGTTTTATATTTTATATACAGTCATCCAAAATATAAAGCTGCATTGAAAGAAAAATTACCCTTCTTAGTATGCGGCTCGACGGAAGATCAAACTACTGCAACTGCAGGAGATAAAGCTTCGGAAAATTAAAAAAACTTAAATAATAAACTTTTATTGTAAATAAAAAAATTGAATTTTTTGTAAATTGAATATCATTTGAAAATTGATTGTAAGGAGAAAATTTTTAAAATAGGAAATAATTATACTAAAATTCAATTGCTTGCAGAATTTATTTGGTTTTATAAAATTAAGATATTAGGATGCTCTCTTCATATTTTATTGCAATGTGATGTGCTTACTAATCTAGTAAATATAGAGCTGCTATACCAAAGTGACCATGTATATATAAAGATACACAATAAATTAATTACGCAAAATCATACCTATGCGTAAATATTAATGATTCGCATTGTGGTGAAATGCGAATCATATATTCAATCACAGGTAATAAAAATGTTATTTACTTTATCGTGTAATAAAATTTCATATACTAAAATTGTTCTTGGTCGAATTAGATATACTCCTTGCTAGGCTGCTAATTTCAAATTTTTGAACACAATCAATTTTTTTTTTTCAAATGTTAATTAATACATATTCTTTTCATAGAAAAAAAAGATTTTTTAATATTATATCAGTTACGTGTGTTTTTTTATGTTTACAAATCGTGTCTGTAGTAAATTAAATTATTTGATGTTTGATTCTTAGTCAAATATGTTTTAATCTATACTCATTAATTGTTGAATTTTTTGCGTTATGATTTGAAAAAAGAAAATTCTGTGATATATTATTTTACGCATTAGATTTTTCGCTATCCGTAACAGTAGTTGTACCGGAAGTCGTAGATGTAGCGTCTGTAGATGGTTCAGCAGCGCATGCCAATGATGGGAATTTCGCAAACAGCGCAGCTCGATATTTCGGATGACTGAAAAAAGAGTAGTTAAAAAAAAAAAAAAAAAAAGAGAATAAAATTTAATTCATTTTCGATTTATTTATTAAATTTATATAAATATAGTTACCTAATTCCATAAACGATCGGATTGTAAACTGCGTTGGCTTTGGCAAAGAGAGAACCCCAGATTGTAAAAAGTGGGCTGATTTTAACAAGATTGAATATACCCGAAAAATTAATTACGAGATACGGAGTCCAAGCCATAAACCATAAAGAGATTGTCATGAGAGCAACCTAAAATTATAAAATGTTTTATTATATTATGTAAAAAAAGTTTGACAAGATGAGGATAAAAAATATAAAATATAGAATCATATAGGATCATACTTTGGCCAATTTACATTCGGCACTAGTATTTTGATTCTCAGACGATCGGAGAGAAGCAACATTCATCTTTTTCGCTTGTTCGCGCATATTCTTCTCATGGGCAGCTACCGCTTTAATAATGAACCAATAACTATAAATGATGAGGAACAGAGGGACGAAGTAGACCCAAATGCCGTAGCAGACAAGATAAGAAGCAGATAATAATCCTCTGTTAAAGTAATCGGTGCCGCAAGCGGTCATATTACCTTCAGGTACATATCTAAGGAAGAATATGAATAAATTTTGTTATTTGATTTCAATCAACAAGTATATATGAAAAATATTTGTAATGACGATCAAGAGTCAAAATTTACCGATTCCAGCCAAACATAGGTGCAATAGTCCATACGAGAGAGAACAACCATATAGCTAATATACGAATAAGAGCTCCATTAATGGATAGCGGTTTACCAGATAAACCCTTCACGATTACGTTATATCTATCGAATGCGATCATCGTCATTGTCCAAATGGAGCCACATCCGAACAAGGAGCCCAACATCGCATAGATTTGACAGAAAAGAGGTCCAAGTACCCATGTCTCATAATAACAATTGATTACCTATCAAGCAACGAATTTCATTGAATTTTATTTCATATTTTTTAATAAGATTATAATTTCTACGATTGATTGAAATTATTTTTGATAGTTTAGAATTAAAAATTATTTTACACACCATAGGTGGAGACATGCAAAACATCATAAGGAAATCACTGATGGCAAGGTTGATTACGAACAAATTACTTGGCGTGCGAAGACTTTTTGTTGAAAGAAATATATAAACGACCATTCCATTTCCCATAACTGAGATGAAACCAAGCAGGCCTATTACAAATCCAAGGATTCCATGCCACATAGGATTTAATGGTGGGTATTGATACCAATGAGCATCAATTAGATGAAGCATATCAGGTGGAACTTTGTCAACCACCGTTTGATTATTGAATCTGGCTTGGACACCATAAGAGAAAGCTTCATAACTTGGTCCCGAAATCATTTTGAGTCTATAACATTTTCAAAAATTTGTTTGAGTTTTATTCTATATTTTTTTATCGTTTGTTTTTAACGAAAGTTGTTTTAAGTTGTTTGTTTAATAATTCGAAATAAAAAAATTTTTTACAATGTACAAAACATCATCATTATAAGTAAATTGAAATATCATCAAAGATAACATAATTAGTAAAACTATGATTTTTAATAGAGATTATTATATTCCAGAGTACACTTGAAATGAATAAAACATTATCATTTTTTTCTTACCTTCGGTCTATTTGGAGAAAATCGTAATAATACGAACTAATCCAAGTAGTTAAACGTCCTATAAGTTTGGTTTCAAATGGCCACGGGGTTATTTAAATTTAACAGAAGGATGTAGGAAGGCTGTTAGGTCCACTGTTGGATGCGGCTCGTTTTAACTGTTTCACGTCCATTTAAATATGAACCGATCTTGCGCTTCGACCCTAGCATATGTACCTAATCCGTCTAGTTTTCTATAAATTCTTACCAGCCTAAGACGGCCTTAGAACGTTAAAGTCTTAAGAAGGATTTTATTAAGTTAACGAGGATTTAAGAATACCTTGACGTGTTTTTAGTATCGAAACAGAAACCTTATAAAATTAAAATAGTAATAGAACATGAACTAAAAATTGTAGAACATGAAGAATCATTTTATTTTTTAATAATCTTCTTCTCATATCCTTTTCTATTTTTTTCATATTTTAATTTAAATCATAATTATCCTATCTTTTGATATTCTTCTTATCATATTTATCTTTTCGTATCTATTTCGTGTTCTAATCTTTTCATATTTATTTTACATTTTAATTTAAATCATAATTCTGTACTAACGTTCAAAAATCCATCCATTTTTATTCAAATATATTAGAAAAAGTGTTATTATTTTTTATTATTTTATTCGTCTATTCTTTCAAATCGAAATTAAATATTTAAACATTAGTAGATTTGTAAGATGGGAATATCTATATAAGTTTTATATAGATTATTTTAATATGGTTTCATAGTATAAGAAGCTTATTATAATGTATTGTTTTTTCCTTATTAAAGTTTTTTTTTTAAACCATTTAGATTTTTTTATAAAATTTTATTTGGTTCTCATGGATCAATATTTTCATTTAAATTATGCCATTTATAATTATGTCATAAGTTATGTTTAGATAATATCTAATAATATCTTTCTTTAATATAAAAAAATGAAAATTATAATCTTTTATAAATAATCTTTATTAAATTTAAAAGCTTATTTTATTCGCGGTTTAAAATTAAATAACGAGAAATATCGAATTCAATTGTATGACACGTGATGTAATTTCAAATAACAACGGAATGATTTCGATTTCTTATATATTATTTTTTGATTAACCGATATCGTAACATTAAGCTATTGAAAGCTGTTAAAATACCATAATAATAGTTTACATTTATTATTATTCTCTTATATTGTTTTTTGTAAAAAATATAAAATATGGAAGATTCAGAAGCACAATTGACAATAGAGAATAGTGATCAAGAAGAAGAAGAATTAACAGCTCAGAGTGTTTTATTAGCTATAGAAGAAGCCTGGTTAAATGAAAAATTTGCTCCTGAAATTTTACCACATCGGTCTGATTTAGTTGATTGTATGCTACAACAAATTACACATATGGAAGAAAACATGAAGAGGTTAGATAAAGGAGATTTAAGATTAATGATTCATAGAATGGAATTAGATAGGATTAGATTTTTGATATCTAGTTATCTTAGAGCTCGATTAGAGAAAATTGAAAAATACACCATTCATATACTTTCTGAAGAAGCAAATAGGTCTTCTGAAGAATGTTATTTAACGGTTGCAGAACTTCAATTTGCAAAAGAATTTCTTGCAAATATGGAAACACTTTTTAGAACAATTGCTCTGCAACATATGCCTGGAAATTTTCAGACATTTGAAGTTAATAAATTAACTGTAAAACCTAACATGAAAGCATATGTATTTTTAAGGGCTAATAATAGGATTAATGGAATCATACTTCCTGGTTCAATGGATGAAGAGATAGATTTTGAATCAGGTTCTCAACATATTATACAATATAATGCTGTATCAGATTTAGTTAAAAACGGTTCTGTTCAATTAATTTAATAATGAAATTTTATTACTAAAATGTAAAAAAAAAAATTGTATTTTTTTAAATTGTATTTTTTAGAATAAATTTATTCATTATATAATGAATTAAAAATTGATTTAATATAATGTACATTTAATATACTCATATACATAGTTTATTAAAAAATAATTACAATTACACATTTATATAATATATATAATATATAGGAATCTTTTTAAACATATACAATATATATTTATATATATTTTTATTTCAATTTTATAAAATGATACAGAAAATATATTCTTTATTGTAAAATATTTAATTTAAATGATATCAAAAATATTTTTATAAAGTAGATAATATTTACTTATTAATATTTTCAATATATGTGCTTAATATTTTTACATTAAGTAGAATTTAAGAAATTGTATTAAAGATATTATAATTTAAAAAAGTACATAAAAATATTGTATACAATTTAACTTATAAAATTTGATTGCAGAAAATGTCATTATATACATAAAATAAAGAATTATTTAAATAGGAACAATATTAGTATTTATTAAAAATCTAATTATCATCATTATCTATAACTTGTGGTGATGATTGTAATGTTGTATCAGTGATTATATCATCATAAGCCTAAAATTTAATAAAAATATATTAAAATATTAACAAATTATTATTATATTACAAACAAATGAATTTAACATACCTCTTTTGCAATTTTTTTAAGTTGTTCAAACATTACTTTTCCAGTTTCTTTGACCATTCTAGTAAAATGGTTTTCTTCATTTTTAAGTAGAATGTATGGATGATCAAACTCAATTGCCATTCCATGATCCATAACTAGTACTTTATTGTTATCCATTATAGTATTTAATCTGTGTGCTATGGTTAATACTGTACAATCTTTAAATTTTTGTCGAATAGTTCTTTGTATTAAAGCATCTGTTGTAGGATCAACATTAGCTGTAGCTTCATCAAGAAGTAGAATCTTATTATTTCTTAAAATTGCACGTGCTAAACAAAGTAATTGTCTTTGTCCAACACTAAAATTAGCTCCTCCTTGTTCAACATTATAATCTAGAGAAGAGATACTTGTTTTTAATTCTACATCTTCGAGAGCAGACCAAAGAGTAGCATCATCAAAATTATGAAAAGGATCAAGATTATCTCGAAGTGTTGCTGAGAATAATACAGGCTCTTGTGGAATAATTGAAATTTTCTTTCGTAATTCATGAAGACCTATTTGTTTTGTATCCAACTTATCTATATAAATAGAACCTTCGAGTTTAGCTAAGCGAAACAAAGCTGATATTAGCGATGTTTTACCAGCACCAGTACGACCAACTATTCCTATCTAAAAACATAAAATTTAATATTAGTTTTAAAGTGATTTTCTTTAATAATATAATTTTTCTTTTATAACTTTTATGAATAAATTACTTTTTCACCAGCTTTAATAGTAAAACATAAATCTTTAAGAACTGGTGGTGCTGAATCTTCATAACGTAAGTATAAATGATCAAAATTAATTTCTCCCTTAAAAGGCCATTCTGCAGGTGGTTTCTTATTAGGTTCACTTTCAAATGATCCTTCTTTGTCGAGTTGTGTAAATTGTAGAATTCGTTCTACACTTGTCATTTGTGCTATCGTTTCTGCAGTTTGACGCATTCCATGCTGAAGCATTCCACACAAGATTAATACTTGAGATATGGCTAATCCTACATTTCCCGCAAATGTATTTCCTAAAAATGTATAAATATATATTTTAACTATATAGTACTATTTTTTTTGATAATATATAATTAAAAAAATTACCGTCATCGAGTACAATGAAACTATATGTAATAAAAGCAATGAAACAAATAGAGACAATATCTAATGCAAATCCAAAAGCAGTACTTGTTGTTATAGTCAAATAATAAGCACTAGTATGAAGATCTTGATGAACATCAAATTCCTTACGAACCATATTTTGTGCGCAAGCAGAACGAATTGTTGTTAATCCTAATAATGAAGAACTAACATGGGAAAAAACTGGACTTTTTGCTAAAATTTTATAAAAAAAATTATTAATAATATTATATTGATTAAATTTTCTTTATAGATTAAATTATTTAATAAATTTTTTAAATGTAAATTATAAAATGAACTTACTAATTCCTTCAAAACGTTTCATATTTTGTGCAGTACTAAGATAAATATTTCGTATTTTCCAATATAAGAAGCCCATAATAAACATAGGAAATATTGTCCACCAATTAATAATAAGAACTTGTCCTAAAATTCCAACCATTACTGCAAATATTTGAATAGATTCTATCATTGTTCTCGGTAAAATTTCATCTACCGATCCAACATCTTTTGAAAAACGATTTAGAATGCGACCTAAAATTTGAAATTATATATTTTTTTTTATTAAGATGTTATATAATAATAATTAAATTATAATTTTTGATACACTTACCAGAAGGATGTGTGTCAAAAAATAGCATTGGCGCTTTTAATAAACATGAAAACATAAGATTATGAAGATTTTTACTAGCATTCATACATATTTTATAAAATACGATATTTCTTATGGATGTCAACACTATACTTGTAATGATGAAACTTCCATAAATCCACAAAGCAGTATCACGATCGAGATAACTTAAATCTTTAGAAGTTGCGTTAATATTCCATGCCTATATAAAATATAAGAAAAATAGCTATTATTTCTTAAATTAATATAAATCATAATAAAAATACTAACAGAATTATTAAAACTGTTATTTTCTAATGTTGAAAAGTTTGAAATTGTATCATTAAAATTATCTATTTTAATAAAAATGTCTTGTTCATTAAATTATTCATATCATTAGAAGAAAATGAAGTTGTGAGATTTTGTTTCAATATTTGCAGCGTATGATTATTATTAATATAATATTTAATGTGCATTTCCTCTTTTTTTTGTCCTAAAAAAAGAAAAATAGCAATTTTTGTAATATATAAAATAAATTTCATTATGAATGAAATAAAAAACCAATAAATATTAACCAATAAGCAACCCAATAATCGCAACCGCTACTTCCTATCTGTCCCAAGACTAAGGACCATATAAAAGTTAGAATCATCAGAATAGAACCCCCAGCTCGAAAATATTTCCAATAAAGAGATTTAGAAACATTTCCTTTAGCCATTAATTCTTCAGTTTCTTTTGGCTCCGTTTCTTCATCATCTTTATTGTTGTTATAATTAATAGATGTATCAAATGTAGTACTTTCATCAATTTCCAAACTTTCTGAATTTTCTTTATTTTCTTCTATTGAAAGCATTTTTAAAAAATCTATACGTTTGCTTTGAAGTTCTGCAAATGTACCTTCACATTCAATTTTACCCTACAATAAACATTACATTAATAATATTAATATGATAGTAATGATAATTATTATTACTTACATTATTCAATAAAATGATGTAATCGCAATCTTTTAAGTACTGTATTTGATGAGTTACAAGAATTCTTGTTTTATTTCGAAGATAGTGTTTTATACATTCATTAAATAAATGTTTTCCTACATGAGTATCAACTGCTGATAATGGATCATCTAATAAATAAATATCTGCATTTCTATATACGGCCCTATTATAATAATCATATATACAATTTTTTAAATAAATATGTTCATATAAAATCATTTATCTTTTTATTAATATGCACCTTGCTAAATTAATTCTTGCTCGTTGTCCACCACTGAGTGCTGCACCTCTATCTCCAACTAAAGTTCTGTCTCCATAATTAAACTGTTGAAAATCTTTAATAAGAGCACATACTTTAATAACTTCATTATATTTTTCTTTATCATAAGATTGTCCAAAAAGTATATTGTTACGCACTGTACCCGAAAATAACCATGCTTCTTGACTAACATAAGATACAGTACCATTTATTCGTATTTCTCCTTGTGATTGTTGTAGTTCTCTTAAAATTAATTGAAGAAATGAACTCTGAAAATATAAATGAAATTATTATGTAATTAAGATTATTTGATATAGAATTATATTTTTTTTAATATATCACCTTTCCTGCACCAACTGAACCAACAATAGCATAAAGTTTATGAGATTCTATTTGAACATTAATACCATGTAAAGTATTTGCTATTGTATTTTCTGTCCATGATGCTGTAATATTTTTCATTATAATATTACCATCTCCATTAGTTTGTTGTGAATGAATTATGTTAGTATTTTCTTTCAATAAAAGAAAATTCTAAAAAAAAATATTAAAATGTTTGCATATGTGTTTATATATGTTTATATGCTATAAACTACAAAAAATTTATGATATATAAGATATGTTATATAAGAATGATAATTAGTTCACCTCAAGTCTTTTAATAGATACAGAAGCCTCTGCTACTGCTGATACAGCCATAGGATATAATATTGCCATAGTAAGTTGAAGAATATTGAAATACTGAGCCATTGAAAATACTTTATCAGCAGATATACTATTTCCGAGAAGTACATATGCCATAATTGTAAAATATAATGTGGTACGTTCGGTAAATACAAACGTAGCTAAGGTAAAACCTCGTAAATACGATGTAAGCGTCAAGATGTCTATCTCATAACTAAAAAGTAATTATGCATTTAAGAATTAGGAATAGATAATATTTGTATAATATAATAAAATATAGAAAAAAACCTTCTGACAAGACTAACAAAATTCTCAAATGGTTTTTCCCAAGTATACATTTTTATAACTTGAATTCCAGCAATTATTTCTGACATTAATCTTACTCTTTCATCTGTTCTAATTGCAATTTTTAATCTCAATTTTGATATCCATTTTCCCATATATCCTAAAATAAAATCACAATTAGTATTTTTTTTTTAAATTAAATATATTATAGAAAGTTCTAAAAAAAACAATTATATTAATTGTAATAATATACATACCTTGAAGAGGTATAGTTTGAATACTTATAAGAAAAACTCCAGCTAAAGATGCAATTCCTACACTCTTCCATATCATGAAAGTAATTAAAGCACCTTGAATCGGTAATATCCAAATATAATGTACTGCTACAAACAATTGTTCAAATCTTGCTACATCATTTGAGAGTAAATTTATAATTTGTCCTGGAGTAGTAATGTTGGTAGAAGATTTTGATAAACGCAAAATCTGGAATTAGAATCTATTTCAAATATCTGATACATATAAATTTTTAAATGATCATTTGTTTCACCTTTCTATATATTAAAGAAGAACATGCTACTCTCATTCTCATTCCAACTTCCATTAAACCTAACATAGAGTGATGATTAATTAAAGCTCCAAGTAAAGATATAAGTACAACAGATGAAGCATAAATGTATGCCTCAGTGGCAGTGGATGTTGCTCTAGGATCAAAGTGCCAAATAAGAAAACCTAATACATATGGTTGTAAAACTCTGAAATATTATTATAATATTATTTATAATAAAAAATTACAAAATAATATATAAGAAATTTTTTATTACCTTAAAATAACTGCTAAAAAAAATTGCCATCCTCCATAATAACCAAATGACCATGCGAATGTCTTTTTTAAAGCATTAAAAAATTTAGGCTTTTTATTAGTTTCTTCTGCTAACTTTATCTCTTTAATCCAATTTCTAAGCATGAAGATAATGTAAATATATTTTATAATAATTTATGATAAATTTTATTTGAACATCTTTACTCATATAAAATATGCTAATATTTACCTTTCAAGTTTATCTCCAAGATGTTGGCTAACATCATTTGGCATAACATTATAAATGTCTTTAAGTTCAAGATCATGATTTCTTCCATACCAAAATAGAGGTTTTAACCACCTTAAATGTAACAATAAAATGTTACATTTTAGAGTATGAATAATAAATTATGTAAATAAGTAAATTATGAATAATATAAAAAACTTACCAAAATATTAATTTACTAAAAAAATTCGCCGATAATTTTGGATTAGGATTATCATGTTTTTTACTAGTATCCATGATCAATTGTATTACACATATTACAACTATTCGTATAAGAACAAATCATGCCGCACTTAAATTCTTTAGTAGCTTACAACAAGTCATTCTAACGCATTACATTCAAGAGTAATTCTTTACGTCATCATCAAAGAGTCACAAATAACAATTCAGATTCTCTTAACCGATTGGTAGGATTTCCTGTTACGATACAAAGTACTAAGAAACCTATTAAAAGATGATTACAAGACAAATCGTAACACGTGCGCAAACATGCACACGATCGATTAAATACTATTACATAAGTCTTTTTAGATAAAAAATTATTACACAGTATTTATCTATAAGAAATGAAGATGTAACAAAAAAGTCAAGGTTATTAACTTATCTTAAGTATTAACAAGTTATCTTTAGCTATCTATTTTTAAAAATCGTATTTTTTTAATAATGTAAATAAAACAAAAAAAAATAATACATATTTCTTCTTTTATTTATTAACATATAATGAAAATAAACATTTTAAAAAGTATATTAAAATACGATATAATATGCTAATTATATATTTTTTATTAAAAATTATATATATGATAAATAATATTTTACAAATATAAAGAATATAATAAATGTCTTCTATTAAAAATTACAAAAGTTTTATAATTACATATATAAATATATTTTAATTATAAAATACAATTAAATATATTTAATTATTATAAAATACAAACTAATTTAACGTAATATATATTTTTATATACATGTACAATATACTTTATTAACATTTAATTCGATGAAAAATCAAACAAAGTATATATTTAATATTTTCAACTTTCTTTTTTTTTTTATTTTATTTCATTATATGATTTCGTTGTCCAGACAACTAAAATAAATTATATTCACAGTATTTTTCTTGGGTAGCGGATGGCCGACTTCCAAAATTTTTTGTAATTAATAAAAAATTTTAATTTTTTTTCGGTTCAACAATCTAAAAAAATTTAAAATAATATTTCAAGATACGTGTTATTAAAAAATAATCAAAATGGTATGACATATGAAATTTATAGTACACTATACTATTATATATAAATATGCTTTTATATCTTTTTTAATAATATACAATTTATAAATCTTTTATATCTTATAATATGACATATTGACCGAAGATCTATTTTTATTTAATTGTCAATCGATAAAAAAAATTATAAATTTTAGCGTGAGTGTATTTCAATGCACGTGGGCCAAGCAGGTGTTCAAATGGGCAATGCATGTTGGGAATTGTATTGTCTCGAACATGGAATTCAACCGGATGGGACAATACCATCAGACAAAGTATCCGGAACAAATGATTGTTTTAACACATTTTTTAATGAAACAAGTTCTGGAAAAATGGTACCGCGTGCTGTGATGGTTGACTTAGAACCCACAGTCGTTGGTTAGTTTAATTTTCATAAAAAAGAAATCTTATTACAAATCGTAAAATCTTTTGAAACATATAGAGCTAACAAGTGACGTTCACAATTATGAATATGATAAAATTTTCTATAGACGAAGTAAGAATAGGACGTTACAAGCAATTATACCATCCTGAGCAATTAATCACAGGAAAAGAAGACGCTGCGAACAATTATGCTCGCGGTCATTATTCTATTGGTAGGGAAGTAATAGATTCTGTAATGGATCGGGTAAGAAGATTGACGGATCAGTGTACTGGACTTCAAGGATTCTTTGTCTTTCATTCGTTTGGAGGAGGTACAGGCTCAGGATTCACCTCGTTGCTTATGCAAAAATTGTCCGATGATTACGGAAAAAAGAGCAAATTAGAATTTGCTGTATATCCAGCACCACAAGTATGAAAATTGTGAAGCAAGCATATAACTAAGCAACAGATGTTTCTGTTTTATTTTTATTTTTATTTTTTTTGTTCTTTTATATATATATATATATAATATATATATATATAATACATATAATTGTTTTATACAGAATTACATATATAATCATATACATATATATTTCCATAATAAAAACAATATTTAGGTATCTACCGCAGTTGTCGAACCATACAATGCTATCCTTACTACTCATACTACGATCGGACATTCGGATTGTGCGTTTATGGTAGACAACGAAGCGATTTATGATATCTGTAGGCGAAAACTTGGCATCGAACGACCTTCTTATGCAAATTTGAATCGTCTTATTAGTCAAGTGGTATCTTCGATAACTGCTTCCTTGAGATTCGATGGTGCTCTGAACGTAGATTTGACGGAATTTCAAACAAATTTGGTACCATATCCTAGAATTCATTTTCCATTGGCAACTTATGCCCCTGTGGTATCGGCTGATAAAGCCTTCCACGAAGGAATGTCTGTCGCGGAGATAACATCTGAATGTTTCGAAGCGTCTAATCAAATGGTCAAGTGTGATCCTCGTGAAGGAAAATACATGGCCTGTTGTTTACTTTATCGTGGCGAGGTCGTACCAAAGGATGTGAATGCTGCGATTGCCGCAATGAAGAGAAAAAGTTGCATACGTTTCGTTGATTGGTGTCCAACTGGTTTTAAAGTCGGTATCAATTATCAACCCCCTACTGTTGTTCCTGGCGGAGACCTTGCCAAGGTATTAATTATTATGTAAACATGTCACTGTCAACAGCAATTAAATAATAATAAAATTTAATGTTTCATAACATTGTTTCTATATACTAAGTTAGAACATTAAAATTCAAAATTTACGTAAAAATTATATAATAATTAAATATGGTATAGGTACAAAGGGCAGTTTCAATGTTGTCAAATACAACTGCTATCGAAGAAGCTTGGTCTAAATTAAATTACAAATTTGATCTTATGTATCACAAACGAGCGTTTGTCCATTGGTATGTTGGAGAAGGTATGGAAGAAGGTGAATTCGCAGAAGCGCGAGATGATCTTGCTGCATTGGAAAGAGATTATGAAGAAGTTGCACTCGAATCGTCAACTACGCCAGATGCTTCATTAGAATATTAACAAACAAAAATGCAATTCGTATAAGTATTTTGGCATTTTTCAGCTGCCCAACAAAAAAAATTTATACATAATTAAATTAATTGTGTATAAAACTGCTATTTTATACTATGCTTCTTATGTCTTGTGATTTGTTTATTTATTTTTACTTTTTTAAAATTATTTTTTTATAGAATTTATAAAATTATATATTGATAAAATAAACAGAAACTTCAATTTTTCTTCCCTTGAATCTTGAATGATCCTTAATATATTATAGAAAAATTTTTATTCACTATAAAATACCAACTTGGACAATAAAATGTATAAAATTATAAAATATTCTTTAATTTTTAAATAATAAAAATTTAATTAATTAAGAATTTTAATCTTTTAAGATTAATCAATATAATTGTATTAAATATACGAAGAACGATTATTTACTACTTTTTTAAGATAAGGAACAGAATATATATACTGTGAAAGAGTATTATCATACTTTTACTTAAACAAAAAAAATAATGAAAAATAAATATAATAGATTATTACATGTAAATGAAATAAATTTTTCCGATTATGTTTAACAAAGATATTTTTTTTAGTGACAAAATATTATATCACAAGAAAGTTTTTATAGCATTTTCTTAATATTACATTTATGTTTTTTAATGTTAAAACAAGATAAAACTCTATTTATTTATATTTGTTTATCTTACAAGAAATTTTAATTACAATTTTTATCTCCTTGGAAAAAAGTATAATAAATATTTAAATTTAAATTGATAATATATATAAATGAAAAACAAATTACTATTTAAATACAATTATAGTCTGTTTCTCTTAAAATAAATTTAATGATAGTTTCAAAAGATAGTAATATAGTTAATAAGAAAATACTAATATAATTAGTAAACAGTTATTTAATATTAACTAAAATCTTAAAGTAATTTATTATACGAGTAATTTATGCACAGATTCTTATAACTTAATTTTCTAAATCTCAAATAATAAAGAACTGTCTAATAAAAATAAGTTTCTTAATACTATTACACCAAAAGTGTTGGAATGGGCTTTTTGCCAGGCCAAGCTTCTTTGGCGTATTTTTTCTTTTTTGGTTCCATTGTTCGTGTATCAGTAGGTCCTGGTATTTCAGGTATATGTGGTGTTTCTGTTTGTATTTGATTCGGTGTCATTTCTACCTCAGGTGCTGGATTTGGTAACGCAATACCAAGTCGAGACGAAAGTGAAGATAATGCACTAGAAAATGGATTAAGAGATAACGACGATGGAGTAAACTGTTCTGGTGGTAAATCTTGATAAAGCTGAGGTGTAGTTGTCATTGGCTGAAGATGTTTTAAAGGATTATGATCCTCTGATAGAGATATTAAACCTCCTTCCATACGCATTCTCTAAAATATAAATCAATAATAAATTTAATAAATCAATATCAATATTGAATTTAACAACAAATCAAATGAGAATATTAATTCTTACTTTACTGGGAACAACAGTAGTTTGTACAAGATTACGAAATCTTCCAACTGATGGATCAACATCTTCCGGATTTATTACTTCTTCATCATCATTGAAAGTAATTCCTTTTTTCTTTCGTTTTCTAGTTGGTTTATGAATTTCATCATCTGTAATGCCTAACATAGATATACGTCTATTATGTGCAGTATTAAATTCTGTTAAATTCTGTAATTAATGATATATTATATTGATATATATTTTAATAATATATTTTAAAATTAAATTAATTAAAATAAATTTTAATGCATACATCAAGTTCTGTTTCTGTTTCAGGTAAACCCAATAAACCACCAGCATCTGTATCTTCTGATAGTTTTTCTAATTCTTCAATAATAGGTCTAGTACCTGTTTGAGGTCTTTCTCTAATAATATAATATCGAGTAGAAGCTCCAAAATGAAATGTACTATCAATTGGTAATTGTGTAGGTTTATGTGGTTCCAAACGAAGATTACCAATAAATGTTCCATGTGCTAAGAAGTCAATTAAAGTTTGTAATAATACTTATTTTATTAAAAATTCTCATTAAATTCTTATATATTACTTTATTAATTTTTTACATATTTTTTTTATGTAAATACAAATGTTTTACAGTATAAAATTTTTACAAAATTTATAAATTTTTAATGTTAATAAAAATTTAATATAATACACATATATATAAATTAAAGTGATAAATAAATTGCTCTATATAAAAATGAACATATAATACTTACTGCTACCCAAGTCAACAAGAAATGCACGATTCAGATGTTTATGATAAACAAGAGCAGCATGAACACGAGAAC